CGCCGGTGAGATCGATTTCTCACGAGGGCCGCTCCACATCGCCGCGCAAAAGGATAACACCGTGCGAAGCTCGGTCACGCCCACGTTCCAGCTTCCTGCTCCGCGTTTCGCTCGATTCCGCGCTGTATTTATCGGCACCGGCTTAATTGCCGACCGCCCCACAAACTTTCCGAGTGTTTCGCGTCCTGCCGATACAACCGCGGCGAAATTAACAGTCCCCGACGTTCGTGGCTGGCGCTCGTTTTACAGTTAACGCCAGAACGCTGGGGTGACGGACGGAATGCTAATCGATGCGCGTCCGTACGTACCGGATTTCCACCCTTCCGCGTCGCAGCGGGCCATACGCGGAAAACCGGGCCGAACGGTCCGTTCGACGGCGGGGGATTCGTCGGTGCGTGTCATGGAGATTTCAGGTGTTTGATTGTGAAACTATGGCAGGCTGGATCGTTGAAGATTCATTCTTGGTTGTCTTCATATTATGAAAGACTGTAGGTTTCCATTGAAAAGCAATAGGACATCGTTGGAGATCTTCGTTCTCTGGAGTATTCGGATCACGAATAATCCGCGATCATCTATTGCCAATCAATCAAACGTCGCGGTTTCAAAGATTCGTTATTTATGCATGCGTTTCGATATGACGAAAATTTATAGATTTCAATCGTAAACCACTCAGACATCGCATCAAAGATTACTCGTTTCCGCGATTTCTTTTGTGACAAAGATGTTGAATCGATATTTAATTCATCGATTACCGAGAAGTCAAACGTTACTCGGTCTACATCTATCCTAATATTGCGCATTTCAACGCGAGGGATCGTCACACCCTTGTTTGCCAACGCGTGTACGTCTTTTCACCTGATTCCTGGTTGCGCGTCGCATGCCCATGCCAGTCGATGGTTCTCTCAACTATAACTGTTTACCGCATCGCGGTCTTTTTCCTTCCCATTTTCACGTTCCTTTTCGCACGTTACATTGTCCCAGCCGGCGTAACCAATCCGCGCGTCCCCGTCTCATTATCCGCGCCTATCCTCCTCGCTACTTCCCGCGGTCGATCACCTTTTCCTTACCTCCACCGAAAGAAACGCCTTCCGATACCTCCCGGTCCCTCGTGCTCGTCGACTTGCACCTCGCAACAGCTGCCGCCGCGCGGTCGCCGATTAAAGTGGAACAGCGACGAGCGCGGTGCGGATTTTTACAGAAACATGGATTTCTCTGTTACTTCATAAAAGGGAATCAAACGGATGGTCGTATCCTCTCCGCCGGAGGGTTAGGGAAATTATTAACGAGCGAGTCCAACTAACTGAACGTTCATTATCGCGTTTACTTCTTACGTGCCCACGCTGTTCCGGTTCATTACAAACATCCCATGCACCTGTTATTCGAATAATTACTAGTTTTCTATTTATTTATTCACTCATTCATTTATTTATTTATTTATCATCCGCATCGATCTCCAACCGATGTGAACAGTCCACCGCGATCCTCTAACGCAAGCGCAGTTTCCGTGAACCGCGTCAGAGCTCAGGATCGCGCGACGACGCGTAATTACGCGGCATTACTCCGCTCTTAACACCCGGCCGGTAATGGCGGCAAATTATAATAATCCCGACGATCGTACGTTGCCGCAATTTCCACCTGCTCCTCGATGTTCCAAGCAGTCTTCGCTAGACAGTCGGAGAAAAGGCGTGTTTCGCGGTGGAAGAGGACGGAGACCGGAAGCGGAGAATCTGCAGGGAACAATATTCATGCGAATCCGGGGGAAGCATCCTGGCAGTGAAACTGATCGGTCCCCGTCGCGTGCTGCATGGAAACGTTAAAAACCGAAAGAGAACGCCAGGAGCTAGGGTTCAGGGTCGGGATACTTCCTGAGGATCTAGTAGTGGTGCGTTTACACTAACCGAACGAACGTTCGTTCAGCTTCTATTCTTCGCATTGTTCCCTCACTCGTAATCTTGAGAGCAACCGACGACAAATTTACTCGCAAACGATATCTTAAAATCGAAGCCCGATTTACCAAGAATGAACGACCGCTTCGGACGTCAATGTTATCCAAGTAGTGGGTGCACGTTTCGGTCGACATAAACGCAGCAGAATATGCATGCGAGTTATCCGCGTCGGATCTCGGAGCGAGACGAAGATCGACGGGCAGATACCGTGTCGCTGGTACCTGCGCCAGTAGCCGAGGAGAACGTCGAACCGTTCCAATCGGTAGCTTTAATTGCTCGGGACGGGATGGTAGACCGCGACCGGCGAGGAAAGTCCAACCGATAGAAACGGAAAGCGCCCGGGTAATTACAAGGTAGAGCAGCCGGGATGGAAAAAGAGAAGGAAGGTCGCGAGAGGGCAAACGAGGGTCGCCTCTGACTTCTTTGCGGGCTGCCGAGATCTTAATCTTAGGAGACGGGATACGGCGGGTCGAGGGAAACGGAACGGCGCGCGCGGGGAACGGGCGGGGAAGAATTCTCGGAGCGAAGTGCGTGTTCCACGGATTTAATGGCGGAAAGGAGCGCAGGAAGGAACAAGGATTCTCGCCGTAGGAATAATAAAGAGGGTACGAGACGACGCGGGTCACGGAAGGAGTCGCTCGGACGAGGAAGAGAAGACACGGCCGGGTTTCGTAGGCGAAACGCGTGGCCCGGCACGGCCAACGAAAGCGGATCCCTATCGCAGGCATAAATTATGAAGACAATGGACGTGGCACAAACGCGCGCGCACGGTGGACGCGCGTCCGCGGGTGAAAAAAAGCCTCCCCGGCGATTGGTGAACCTACCGGGGCCCTTGACGACCATGAAAAACCGAAACAGGAAGTCGTCCGAGCGTCTGACAGCGCGGTAAATAAATGACACCGCGTGCAAGAAGGCGTGCAGGGTGGGGGAACCCTGTGCGACCAGGGGAAAGAAGGCAATAAAAACGGGGGAGGGAGGCGGCGCGGGATCTCTCGCGGCGACTTCGCCGCGACGCTGATCAAAACACAAAGAGCGGGCAACAGAGGGAGAAAAGAGAAGCGAAGGAAAGAAGAAGGGAACGAAGAAAACGAAGATACGCGGACGATTCTCTGGACATGGAGTCGCGGTCGGGAATCTTTGAACCCGTTGTCGGCGGAGCGGCGAGACGAACGGAGAGTCCGCAGGCGGCGAGGCAAAAACGTAGCGGACGTCGAAAATGAAAAAAGGAGGAAAGAGGGGAACGAGCGAACTAAAGAAAACGGGAAGGGGCGGAGGAGAAGGGACGAAGAACCCCGGGGAAGAAGAAGATGAAGAAGTTTGAGGTCACGGACCTTCGCGCGGGGATCGGCGAAGAGGGGTGCAGGTGGCGGTGCTACCTCGGAAAGCGTTTAAACCCGCTAATGGAAAAGACCGCCGGACCCCCGGGGCTATTTGAAAGCGACACGCAGCACGTTCGCGTAATTTACGCGTTGACCGCGCGTTGATGGACGCTCGGGGATCCGTGGACCTGCTTTCAGTACACGATCAGCCACGGGTGACGTTTCTACCTCCGGGTTTGACCCCGAGGAGATTGTATTAGGACGCGATGCTTTCCTGTACACGGTGTATCCGCTGGAAATCCTATCCCTTGCATCTCGTGAACGTTCGCCTGGTTGTTCAACATCGTGTCACGAACGCGACGATGGTACTTCATCGTGAATCATTGGCCGGCCCAGGGACCTGACCACGAGATAGTCCGGCTGCAGATGCGGCCCGTTCCCGTGATCGTCGTTGAGTCGTATATACGGAACGATCCCCTCGATCCGCTGTTCCATATGTATCCCCCGAGCGAAATGATCGTTTCCCACGTTTCGCCTGTGCAAATCCCCTGTGTCGCGACGCGGGACGACCGTCGATCGTGGGCTCCGATCATTACCGATGATTCGATAGTACCGATGTTGATCCTAGGGATGATCGCTCCGTCTGAATGTTCGGTAGCCACGGTTTCTGTATCGTTCGTCGATCGAATTAGTCGAGCGTCGGTCTCGTTCTATCTGTTAGGGTCTATCACGTGCCCCGACGATCCGCGTCCCGGAATTCAATTATCCGTGGTCGGGCGGGGCGTTCTTTCGCATCGCGATAATGCGAACCGGTGGTTTCGGTGAGTATCGCCGCGCGGCCGGACGTTACGCGGCGAACGGTGAAAGTATCTATCATCGAGCGCCGCGAATAAACAGGGACCAACCCAGTGGGATATACGTCAGCTCTCGCGATGTCGAGCTGGTCGCTTTTCAAGGTCGGGACGTTTACGACTTTATGGGGCAATTACCGTGGTATACTGCAAGTTAGTTTGCGGCCTGGCCGCCGCGGACTTCTTCCTCGGCTTCTTTTTCCTCCGTCGCTGGACGGGATTCGTTCGTCGGATTCGTTCGTCGGATTCTTCTGGCAGTTCGGAATAAACTTTATACTTACACGGCCGTTGAATTTTATTTCCGAGATGTTGCGAAGTACACGGCGACGGAGAAAGGAAGTCGTTCAATTATCCATACACCAGTTTACTTTACGATAAATAATTATGGTCGTCCCATTATTCGTCGGAGGACGTGAGAAATATGAAAAATTTTCTCATTTCGCTGGATCGTAGGTACAGCCGGTGTAATCCGTCCTTCGAGTGTGTTCTGCTGCCGAGAAAGGGAAAATGAGGACAATTTGCGTTAAGTAGGAGGCTCGCCTCTTCGCTTTTCCTTCAGCTCCACGCGGCAATTAGGTCGACGAATACCGGATGCCGCAACATCGTGAAACGCGCGACACTCGAAACCGCGCCATTTCTTTTCTTCCTGGCACGCTTTTTCCAAAAGCATCTATTTCCCTGGTGCGGTATCGAGCGATATATCAACGACATCCCGCGAAACTGGTTCGAATACTGCGTTTTGCTACTGGAATTACAATTTCCTGGTGTCCGGGGTGCTTGTAACTTCGAGGAAGTTCCACCGATCGGTTCGCACGGTGCACGGGCCGCGATCGCGATCCCGGCGAACGATTTTTCAAGCGAACGGTGTTGTTTGTTCGTTCCAGTCCAGAGCAAAGTGAGATGCTCCGAGCAGTGGATGGAGGTTGACATCGTGAGGAGCAGCCCGCGGGCGAGTATATACCTGCAGCAGCTAAAGGACTTCCCAGGTAAAGATCGATCCGTGTTCCTGTCCCCCGTATTACCGTGGCCAGCCGTGAAATATAAACGGGAAGTCGAAGACTGGCCGCTTTACACGCTGAAATCTACCTATCCTCTTTTCCAGACGAGGCCTGCAAGCCCCAGCTGAGCAACGGCGTCGCCACCTTCCGGCTATCGCTGCTGGAGGAGGACATACAGCGGTGCGGCATCACGAAAGTCGTTAACAAATTCTCGGTAGGACGTGGTTACGATCCTCGAATAATTAAAACGATCCGAGGCGATCGGGTCGGCTCCGATCCGCGATTTATCCCCTTTAGATCAAAGCTCCATCCCCGAGAGATATTGCCTCGTCGAGATAAATTTCCTATTCCGGCGTTCGCGCGATAAATTCACGTCGGATCGATTACGTTGCTCGCTGCAAACAAAAGAAAGGAATCGATTAACCTGCATCCGGCATCGGTTCGATCTCGATGCGCCAGATACTATATGAGTGTTCGCGGTGAGACTCGGCCCTGTCGGAGGACGATCGATTGTTCTCGGATCCGACCGGCGAGATCTCTGATCAAATATTACAGCCGGTAATGATACACAGGGTCAGAAGGTGTACTTCCATCGGATAATAGTGGAGGAGCCCGCTGACACCAGCAAGCACACGTTCACCGTCAAGTGCGTGATCACCGAGGTCCTCTTGAAGCCTGGATTACCGATCGCCTCCAATCACACCACGGTTCGGCGCAGCGTCTTTCCGGCCGGCTTTCAAGAACCCGAGTAAGTTTCCAGCGTGTGCCGACTCCGGCCTCTTGGTAACAGTAGCGACGGCGTGCTCGAGATCGGCACGCGAGCGTCGCGACCAACAGCGAAACACCTGTTGCCCGCGGACAAGAGCGATTGCACGCGAGTTGCGTTTTCGCGTCAAGGCCGGCGCTCGTTTAATAGATTCGCGTAGACAAGAAACGGCCAGGGAAACGGTTCGACATCCTTCGCGGGAGGCTTCCCTTCCACCGGAGTGTGACACGCAAACTGCGCATCGCGAACGCCTTGAATTTTCTGGGTCGGTTGCGAGAGAATAGGATCGTCCCTGGGCGAAGAGTTCGCCAATGATTTTAACTCGATCGTGCAACCGTGAACCGACGGTAAAAGTAACGAGCACGGACTCGATGGTAACCCGAGCTAGATGATTCTCCAGAAAATAGTTTCGTCCCGCAAGTTTTTTGCTCGGGGGATGGTGAGCGCCTTGATTCATGACGCCACGATCCATTTATTCGTCGACCGGTACGGTCGAGCAGGTGCTGGGAAACCTGAAATGTAATTTTAGCTTCGTACCACGTCGCGTTGCGGAGTGCTCCGTGTGTACCTTTTCCTCGGTCGTTCGATAGAAAACTTCCGTCGCGAGTCATTCGTACGCTCGACCTATATCGGTAAAAAGCGACAGGTAGCAGGCCACTGTCCGTAGGACATCTTTTTATTTCACCGGGACATGTAAATGTCGCCTAAGAGACCCTAACGATCCTGTTTACGCTCGGCATTAGAACCCCGGAATATATATCGATGTGTATAGAGTATATCAATCTGTCTATCGCTACACGATTTTAATGAAGCAATTACCTTGGCAGGCTACCCTTTACCTTGTCCCTTAGCCAACGATTCACTCGAGGCGATTTACAGGAGCGTTCATTAATCCGTCGTAAAATTATAACAC